GTCCCGATGACTGATTTCACCGCCGATGGTGGGGAGGACCAGGTGGATGAAGCCCCATTAATGGGGGAGATTGGGATGTCTCGACTGCGGGGATAGGGGGTCATCCCCGGCTATGCTGACGTCATTCTCGCTAGAAGCGAGGAGAGGGTCCACACCGACCATAGGGGATACTGCATCTTTTACGCCTACCCCTTCAAGTTGGGGTTTAAGCTCCCGCTCCCAATGTTGGTGGTTGATTTCTGTCGTTATTACGGGGTATGCCCGGGTCAGCTTACTCCTTCTCTTTACAAGTTGTTAGCAATGCTCATCAAGTACGCAGAATTGGCTGGTAGGGAGATTACGCTGCAGCATGTGCTTAGTCTCTACGCTCCCCAGAGGGTTCGGGGTACCATGATTCGAGCGTGCCCTCGCGGGACGAGGGGCCTGACTGCGAAGCTGGATGATGAGGTTGAACCTCGCCCTTTCAAGCACTTTTTCTACATCAGGACTGAACATTTAGTGGCGTGCTCTATTGGATTCCCAGAGGCTTGGAATCATGCACGTAAGTTCCTTATCCATCGAATCCTCTTTTTTTTTTTACCCTTCCTTACGCCTTGTGCTCGTAAGCGTTAACTCGTGTCAATTTTGTAGCCGAAAAATCGTCGCCGGCTCCGTTAGCTGGGATTCACGGATGGGTGGAGGCCGTGCTCCCCCATACGGTGGAGATACGCACATGGGCGTCTTTCTGGGAGAGGCATGGACGTAATCCTGTGGCAGGTAAGAAAAATTGACTTCTTCTTCTGTTCCGCTTTGTTTCGACACTATTCCTCAATTTTGTTTTTCTGTGATCAGGGAGGGCACGCCGCGTCAGGGCCCCTCAGTTGGCCTTTCTAGTTTTGGAACTAAGTTTTATCGTAGAAAGAGTACTGGAAAACAAAGCGGGGATAGCTCAGTTGGGAGAGCGTCAGACTGAAGATCTGAAGGTCACGTGTTCGATCCACGTTCACCGCATTCTTTTTTGTTTCAGCTTTTGATTTATTTACCAGATTATGAATTTTAATTATCGGGCTGATAACATGGGACTAAATCTGTGTGGTACACTACAGCACAAGAAAACCTATGTTTTTATTGGGTTGAGTTAAATTCCAATTTTTATTTTTGCTCATCGCTAATTATAATTGATTAAGTCATTTTAGTTTTGACTTATTCTCGGCCTGGAGTATTGAGATAGTTCGCGAAGAAATTTAGATGCGGAACTAGAATTTTAACTTGATAGAATCAGCATGTTCCAATAATATAATGTTTGTTAAAATTTTAATGTATATCACATTTTGTTTAGTGAAATACTGAATTCGATTAAGCTTGTAGCTAATAAACAACATCCGCCACTAGAATTACACAACATTAAGAGTCTATTCGGAAAGCCGCCCATTGGAATTGGTGTAATGACTAGGGTATTAATTACAGGGTAACTTACACAAATGTCCCAAATAAATCTTAACTTACCAACCTCTAGCCATTAGTCATAGACTTACCAAAACTAGCCAACAAAAATTGATAAACCAAATAATAGGGTTCTTTCTCTCAAAGAATCACATGCAAAAATCACCTTTCATACTTTTAAGCGTGATTAGCATCATTAGATACAAGACGGAAAGGAAATTTCATGGACGGGGTAGCAAATAAGGTGATGAAATACAAAAATCTTTACAATATTCCAAAAACCTAAACAAAAAGGAACTTTTTCAATGGGTATAGTTGAAATTCATTGAAAATATATATATAAGTCAATATACAAAATTTGAGGAAGATTGGAGGTCATTTGGACTGGTTTTGTATCAAAATTCGTAATTAATCGAGTTCAAAAAAGTCTTCTGCGACGCATGTATAACGCATATATCACACACACAGGTATACATGGATATACATGTGATACACAATTGATACAAATATGATACATATGTGATACACAAATAATACACAATGCGATACACATGTTATTTTTTTCATGTTCAGCTTTTACTTCGAATTTTCAATTCAAACCACCTCAAAACTTCACCAAATCATCCCAAAACTGAGATTCAAGCTACTTAAGTTGTGACTAATCTATTCTAATAACACCCACTCAAAACAAAGCAAAAATTTGATATTTTTTTGCTACAAATAGCTAATTGGCTAATTTGGCTAATATTAGTAATATTTTATCAATTGGCCAATTTTTGTAATGAGCAACTTATAAATGGACATAGCTGGTAATTTCCCTTAATTACACACCCTAGTAATTACACAGTTGTGTAATTACGACAGTATGTTTGTTTGTCATAGTGTAATTACAATGTAATTACAAGTTTACTGTTTGGTTACACGAGTATAATTACACTGTTAGATTAAATTTCAAATTAAGTAATTATCAAAACTTAAAATTTAATATAATAAATATATGCATATAAATTTTTATAAGTATCAATGATATTATATTTTGTATTTAAGATGTATATTTTTCGTGAATATACATTAATTTATTAATCATATATTTATAAATAATATTGTAAAAATAATTTATATTTTTTTAAAATTAATAACATTTAGTTTAGATACTTACAAAAATAAAAAATAATATACGTTTTGTAAGAACATTATTGAATTCATGTTTGATAAAATAAATTAATATTTACAAATATAATGTCATAACATTATTCAAATGTTTGACAAAACTAATCTATCAATTCTAACTAAAAAAATGAACAACATGCAATGTGAGCCAATACACTAAAACAAGTAAATTTGAACCATGAATATAACACAACAAAATTAAAAAATAAAAATAAAATAGTTTTACATATGTCAAATTCCAACATAATAATAGTAAGTTCCAATGCAACTTAATAATTAGGAAACATGATAAGTTTATAATCACATTCAACAACGAAATTCCATTTTAATTGCATCGCTCATTATATGCCAAGTTTGTTAATGACTCGTTATTTCTAATATTAGGAGGTGTAGCTTAAAAAAATAGAATAATAAAATAAAATATATGTAATTACATGGAATCACAAGTAGGGGTGTTCAAAACCGAACCGAAATCGAAGCTTAATGGCTTATTGGTATTGGGTTAACGGTTTAACGGACAGGGAACGGATTGAAAGTTTTTTATTAACGGCTTATCGGTTTGGGGGCGGATTATTCAATTTTCTTACCGGATAATCCGTTAACCCGTTATATATATATATTAAATAATCAAAAACCCTTCTTCCTCCAGTACTGTATCAAAGTGAATTAGAATAAAAGAAAGCCAAATAAAAGGAGTCATCTAACT